GTGTGAAATTGGCAAAATTGCTAAATTCTGACCACTTTATTGGATAGTTGAAATCGGTAAATGGGTGGTTTCTTGTACTCATTCGATAGAAGAAATGGAGTTCTAGCGAAATAGTTATGATTTTTGTCGACTAGTACACTGGAATTGGCTGAAAATAGGGCTCAAAGTGGGCAAAATCGCCTATGCGTAAACATTGTCAAGACCGCTAACTTCGCGAGAGCATAATTCCGTAAGTTTTCCATTAAATTTCATACTTTTGGTGTCATTATGATCGGGAAAAAGATTCTCTATCTTTTCATAAGAAAAAATCATTTTTTTTTTAAATTTGGAGACCCTGAGAACAAGTCTTGGAGAGGGCCCGGGGACCCTGAAAGGGTTAAGGTGGGAAGCTAATCTGAAATTGTCCAGCCACATTTCAGAGACATTGCATAGTTATCAGCTCACTTTTCAGACAAACTGAAGGATCTAAAGATCATTTATATAACATTTTTCATGGAAATTTTTTACTAGTAAACATGACACAGTCAGTCCAATCAGACAACTGGTCAGCACTATCACCAGGTACCAGGTCAGTAGTATGACCATCCTGGATTGGACATCAGTTTTCCTAATTGCCCTCTTGAAAGAAGTAAAGACCTTTCAGAAGATAAGAAACACTCATCCTTTATCATCTCATTGTCTAGGATGTTACATAAGTAAGGACTACTGCTTTGTTCCAACACAAGAAAGAATAAAGCTAAAATCTGGTCCCAGAACCACAAATATTAGCTTTACAATGTGTTTAAATCTGGGGCAGAGGGAAGGGGTTGAGGGTGTTCCAGGAAATGTTAGAAGAAAGATGTGAAAGAGGTTTTATGTGGTAGAGGCTTGAGCATTCAGCAGGTGTGTGTTAACATGTTAGATAAACATGAGTGGAGACATGTTATTTTAGTTTGACATACTGTTGAGGTGTGAACAAGATAAGATTTATGAAGGTTTTTAGGGAAAACCAGTTGAGTCCTGGAGGTGGGGAGTACAGTACAGTGTTTGCACTCAGGTGGGATATTGCAGTTTGGGGACCCATCGAACTGTATGTTCCTGCACTTCGGCAAAGTCAACTATTGAATGAATGATGGTGAATATTTTTTTTTTTTTTTTTTTTTGGGGGGGGGGGGGCTCACAACTGTGGTTGGAGACTGCTGAAATGTTGTAAAAACTAAAAAATTTGTTCCTCTTTACAAGTTTAAAGATTAAGCATGGGATTGATGCCATTTAGTTTCAGCTTCAGTACACAACATTTTTCATGATTTGTTACTAACTGTTAATTTAATTTTTTTTTTTAGCACACTGGCCATCTCCCACCAAGGCAGCATAACCTGAAACCTGGCTAAAGCCTGATACTACAGATGTCTATACCATTCCTGGTTACACAGCCATACACAACTGTAGGCCAGACCAACAAGGGGGTGGCACAGCCATATACTACTCAGACCAACTAGAATGTATCACTAATACTTGCACAAGAGATGAACATGGGGAATATATAATAGCCAAATTCAAATCCAAATACCTACAAAAACCTCTCACATTGATAAACATCTACAGAGTTCCACAGTCAAACATTAGCCAATTTAGTCAAAACCTAGGAAGTATGATAACTGATGCACGCATGAACAAAGATCACTTACTACTCTCAGGTGACTTCAATATAAATCTCCTGCAAGACCAGGACCCACACGTTACTGAATTCACAAACACAATGAGTAACTGTATGTTGCTACCAACAGTAACAAAACCTACAAGAGTTACAGAGACTAGTGTTTCCCTACTTGACCACATCTGGACCAACACCATATCCCCTTTAAAATCAGGCATAATTACAGATAATACCACAGACCACTACCCTACTTTCCTCATAACAACTCTTGGTAAATTACCCCAAGACACTACTAAAGTCACCTTCAGACTTCACAATGAGGCAGCCATTAATAACTTCACAAACAGCATTAGCAAACATTGATTGGCACACTGAGCTAGAAATCAATACAGATATTGACGAATGTATTAATAATTTTCTAAAAAAGACTCAATACCTCTAAAAACAAGCACTGCCCTAAAAAAAACTAAGCAGATGACAGCTAAGAGACTGAACAGTCCTGGCTAACACCAGCATTCTCAAACCATAAATACAAAACACCAATATGAAAAACAGTACAGAATGGGTCACATAACCAGAGACCAAACAAAACGTTACTCGTCAATCCTAACCAGCCTGATAAGAAGGGCAAAAAAAATTGTATTATGAGAACAGATTATCCAACTTACGAGGTGGGTATAAAAAAGACCTGGGGAAAAACCCCATCAGAAATTCTGGGAACAAAAAGATATCACGAAATAGCGAAATAAAATTAGCAAAATCAGATGAACCCCAACTCCACCAACAGAAACAGCAAACAGACTCAATGATTTCTTCTCCCCTATAGGGACAAAACCTTGCCAATAAAATCCCAAGCTCAGATACCCCACCAAATGACTACCTCACCGGCAACTACCCGAACACACTGTTCCTAGCTCCGACTAACCATACGAAGTCTCCCTTATTATCAACGCACTAAAAAACAAGGCAGGAGATTTAAATACCTTACCACCCTTTATATACAAAAAAGTGTCACAAGTGCTATCACCAATCATTGCAACACTCTTTAACAAATCCATTGAATCCTCCACCTTCCCTACAGTACTCAAAATAGCAAGGGTCACCCGATCCACAAAGGAGGAGACCAAACAGAGTTGAATAACTATAGGCCAATATCCAACTTACACCCTCTCTCAAAAAAACTTCGAAAAATTAATTCATAAACGAATCTACTCCTACCTTATCTCCCAAAACATACTCAACCCCTGCCAATTTGGATTCAGGCCTAATAAAAATACTAATGATGCTATTATACACATGCTAGAACATATATACACTGCAATAGAGAAAAAAGAAGTCCCCCTGGGGATCTTCATTGACTTACGTAAAGCTTTTGATACAGTTGACCATGACTTGCTCCACGTAAAATTATCACACTATGGTTTTAAGAGGGCACTCCCTCAACTACCTCAAGTCATACCTCAGCAACAGAAGCCAATATGTGTACGCAAATGGGGGCAAACTCTTCTGCACAACCAATTACAGTTGGTGTCCCACAGGGAAGTGTCCTTGGCCCTCTTCTCTTTCTCCTATACATAAATGACCTACCAAATGCTTCTCAATTACTCAAACCCACACTATTTGCTGATGACACAACATACGTCTTCTCCCACCCGAGCCCAGTCACGCTAGCCAATACTGTAAATACCGAATTACAGAAAATATCTACCTGGATGAGTACTAACAAACTTACACTAAACATTGACAAAACCTACTTCATTCAGTTTGGTAACAGAGCTACAGATGTCCCTCTTAACATAATGATAAACGGATCACCTATCACAAAGCTAACAGAGGGAAAATTCTTAGGAATCCACCTTGATAATAGACTCAAAATTTCATACACTATACAACAAATTTCTAAGAAATTTCCAAGACTGTAGGCATACTATCGAAGATACGGTACTATGCTCCACAGTCAGCCCTCCTGGCCCTATATCACTCTCTTATTTACCCCTATCTCACCTATGGAATTTGTGCATGGGGCTCAACAACAAGTAACCATCTCAGACCACTAATTACCAACAAAAAGGCTGCAGTTAGAATGATAACAAATTCTCACTACAGGCAGCACACTCCACCAATATTCAATACACTCAACCTACTCACCATACAAAACATCCATACTTATTACTGCACCTATTACATACATAGAACACTCAACTCTGATATTAACCCTCCCCCCAAACATCTCCTTGCCAACCTCAACAGAACCCCATGACCATAACACAAGGCACAGATCACTCTTTGATATTCCTCGTGTCCATCTCACGCTATGCAAAAACTCAATGCACATAAAAGGCCCTAAAATCTGGAATTCATTACCTGTTAATATAAAAGAAACATACCTGTTTATAAATTCAAGTCTCTTCTCAAAGATCACTTACTCACCCAAAACCAAATAAATACTGAATAACTGAACCTTATAAATTGTATATCTTAAATGTTTCTCACAATTATATCACATAAATGTTAAACCTAAAACCCAATCTAACTTTATTATTTTTTAAATTCACTACCTAACAGAATACTCCATTCTACTGAATTTACAACAATGCATGCAACCATATGACCTGTCTTTGTAATACTCACTTGTGCTTTATAGTAATCAGTTTACATTAATGTTTTTCACTGATTTCATCATTGCTTAGTTAATCTTAAGTTAATTTTAAGCCAGCCCGTAATGCTATGCATAGTATAAGTGGCTTTGGCATGCTGCTCTTATCTGTATTTTTTTTTTTTTGTACCTCTGTAAGTGTGCTCAAATTATAAATAAATAAATAAATAAATAAATAAATAAATAAAAGAAGAAATTAAATTTTTTCTTTTTTTTACACTTAGTAATGTATACAGGAGAAGGGGTTACTAGCCCCTTGCTCCTGGCATTTTAGTTGCCTCATATAACACATATGGCCTGCAAAGGAAGAATTCTTCTTCACCTCCCCATGGAGCGATTTGATAATATAGTCAAAATCATTATCTCTTAGTCCATGGCAGGATTTGAACCTGCAAACTCGGCATCAGGTTACACAATACAGTACTTTATCCACACAGGCCGACTCTGGAGTTTGGCATTGTGGATAAAGTACTGTGTACTCTGATGCCAAGTGTGCCAGTTTGAATCTTGCTGTGGACTGAGTGATAATGTTTGTAAATATTTCTGCCTGTTTGTGAACTGTTCAGCGTAGTGACGATATTGATGTACTGTTAGTCAGACCTGTGATGTAGATATTATTATGTTTTCAGACATACACCTTTCTTATTAATTTAAATAAAGTTGCTAATTCTAAAGCTAATTAAAATAGTTATATATTTTTTATTTCAGGGCAAGAAGATAATAATTGAAAATGACTCAAATTTTAAGGTTCCATATCGTTACGAAGTGCGTGCAAAAAAAGTGACGAGTGGAGGTTTAGATGATGAGAGGAAAGATGAAGGTAATCCCATTGCTACAGATCAGTCTTTTTTGCCTGTGCAGTCCAGAACAAAACCTAAAAATGAATCAACTTCATCTGAGGCAGAAGCAAGATGCAAAACTTATGATGATTCAGAATTTAAAAAGAGAGATAATGAGCCTTTAATAGGAAGTGGTTTACCATCTATTGCCTTGAGAACAAAGAGCAGAGTCAGCAGTGATCCTGGGAAGCAACTACCTCTAAGTGAGAACAAAAGGACGAAAGAAAAGAAAATTAAGATGTCTAGTATAAATAGTTCAAAAAGTCAGCCCAGAAAAAAATTGAAATTTGCAGATGAGCTCCAGAAAGTCTCAGTCCATGAGCCAGAATGTTCAACTACACATGTGGCAGCTTTGAACACAAATGAAAAGAATAGTTTGCAACACACAGATGAAGCTATTGAAATCCATAAGTCAGAGCAAGTCAGTAATAAAAGTGTTAAAGGCAAATTAAGAGAGAATAAGAGCCTCTCATCTATGTGGACAACCTGTTCTGAAGATAATTATAATCAAGACATAAGCAGAGGTAGAAAGCAGGTACTGAACCAGACAGATTTACCTCAAGCTTGTCTGCCTATTATTAAAGTTAAAACTTTTAAACTACGCAAGAAACCTCAACCAGATAGTACAAAATTAAGTAATAGAAGGAATTTTAGCAGACTTGGAACTTGTGACCAAAAGGAACTAATTTTACAACAACACAATAATAAATTATTGTCTAAAAGAATTTTAAAAACTTCCACTCATTCTGACACTGAAGAGTGTTGCAATATTAAGCTTAGTGTACCAAAAATTAGTGATGAGTCTGAGAAAGCTGTTGTTTTACATGTAAGTGATGCAGATAATAAAAATTTGTGTCTGGAAAAAATTTCATCATGTGGCAAGTTGGAAGAGTCTCTCAGTGTAAGTTACAAGTATTGTGACAACAAGAAGCAAGGCATTAATCTATCGCTGAAGAGTGGAAACCCTGGAGACTGCATGAGAAGAAATAATGATGCAGTGGTAGAAGCAGAGTGCACCAGAGGTAGTAACACCTCAGTAAGAGACACAGTGTTGCAGAAGATTCCACAAGCTGATCACCAGGGAAACCAAGAAAGTGTTAAAGCAGAGCCATTGACAACACCTCTTGAGGGGTTAGAGGATAATCTTTATACACACATAGCTTTTCTCACAGACTCTCGCATACAATGCCTCAGTAATCGCATCTCGGCCACGCCGGGAGTAATGACACGAGACCTTCTCGGCCTAGACTATAGTAATAGTGATTACTTTTCTTCGCACAAAGTTCGGCTTATGATGAAGAAGAAAAAAGGTGGGAAAGTAAAGTGTCAAGAATGTGGTGTTGTAACAACTTACCGAGCATTTTACAAGCATGCCAAGAAACACTTTAATATCAAACCTTTTAAATGTGGTTATTGCTCATATAGATCCATTGAAAAAAGCAAGATACGTGTTCACAGCACTTTCTGTCACCCCAATAGTCCATGTGTAATTCTGAAGCTTTCACCAGAGATTGCTGGTGTTAATGGCAGTGCAGGACATGTCAGTAACAATAAATCTTTGACAAAAAATGCTGAAGATGATAGTAAGCAAAGTAGTTCTTTAGTTTCAAGCAGTGAAATACTTTCAAACACAGTTAATAATTCACTTGAGTCAACAGTGAACTTCTCAGCATTATCAAGCAACAGTAGAGCTGAGGAACTGACTTCATCCATCAAAGCAGCAGCGACCAGTGTTCACAATGTAAGTTCTCCCACTGAAAGTGCTCCCAGTACAGTCATTAGCACATCACAGAGACAACCTTCCTTCCAATGTCCAATTTGTCTCAAGTTTCTTCAGAAACACACCCCATCAATAAGAAGACATCTGTACAGTCATTTTGGATATAAACCCTACAAGTGTGGTTACTGTAGCTTCACTGGCATCGGTCAAAGTGAGGTAAGTTGCACACTTTTCTCACAGTCATAGCAGTAACAAGAAAGAAGTATGCTTGAAGGAGAGGGTTACACCTAATATAGTAATCTGTTAATCTATGACATGTGTTATAATAATATAATATAATAAGATAGAAATACATCAGTCATTAACAAAGGTAAACTCTTTGCTGGGAATATACTGGAATAATACTACTGATGTTTTACTGTAGCACAATGGTACTATAATAATGGTACTATAATGGTCCTATAATAATGGTACTGTAATAGTGGTACTGTAATAGTGGTACTATAATAGTGGTTCTATAATAGTGGTACTCAGTGGCAGCTAGTAACGCCAGTAATACCTATACTCTCATACCGATTCAGACTTACTTTTAATAATTTTTGATCTCGTTTCAACAAAAAAAATAAAAATTCGCTTATAAATACATTGGAAACAATATACAACAGATTTTTCCTGTAATATATTTGTCAGATGCAAATTATTTTAGCGTAAGGTTGATGAAGTCATACGTCTGGCATTGAGCATCTTGGGGGACTGCAGCTCTGCAGCTCCTATGGACGAGCCGCAAGTGGTGGTACTATAATAGTGTACATACTATAATAATGGTATTATAATAATGGTACCATAATAGTGGTACTATAATAATGGTACTATAATTATACTCATTTAGCTGTCTCACTAAGTATACAGTATTAGTCACTTATGTAGTTCACTTAACTTAATCAGTTTTAGTATCTATATGTCTATATAGTGGACCCTCAGTTAACGCCTTTAATCCATTCCAGAGAGCTAGGCTTTAACCGATTTAGCTTTGAACCAAATTAATTTTCCCCATAAGAAATAATGGAAATCCAATTAATCCATTTCAATTACTCCACTATGGAAAACTTGAGGAAATAAAAACTGTATCAGAGTATAAAACAAATTCCAATTACAAAACAGATTGAAAAACTAATGTGAAGAATCTTACTTTCAAATCTCACTTTCAAAGATCACAACAATGTATCTACCCCATCTGCTAGGAAAATGATAGGATGGATAATGAGAACCTTCAAAACTATTGATGCGAAGTCCATGATGACTCTCATCAAATCGCTTGTTCTCTCTACACTGGAATATTGCTGTACACTAACAGCCCCTTTCAAGGCAGGTGAAACTGCAGACCTTGAGAATATATAAAGAGATTTCATGGCACATGAAAGTATGATAAAGTACCAAAATTACTGGGAACAGTTGAAGTCCCTTGATTTGTGCTCCCTGGAACACAAGCAAGAAAGATACATGATAATATACACTTGCAGAATCCATGAGGGACTAGTCCCAAATCTGCAAACAAAAATCACTCCCTACAAAACCGAAAGACTTGGCATGTGATACATCATCTCCCCAATGAAAAGCAAGGGGCACCACGGGTACACTAAGAGACAACACAGTAAGTGTCAGGAGCCCAAGACTGTTCATCTACCTCCCAGCATACATAAGATGGATTACCAATAGACCCTTGGCTGTCTTCAAAAAGGAGCTGTACAGGCATCTAAAGTCAGTACCTGACCAACTGAACTGTGATTTGTACATTGGTTTACCTGCACCCAGCAGTAACAGCCTGGTTGATCAGGCCCTGATCTACATCAAGGCATAGTCATGGTCCAGTCTGCAGGGGCACTGATTCCCAAACCCCCCTCCAGGTATACTCCAGGCTGTAGTAATGTGTTGCAGCAGTCATGCAGGTTGTGGTACTGTACTCGCCTAATTGTGGTTACAGAAGTCAAGACTCAGCTCCTGGCCCTGCCTCTTCACTGGTTGCTACTAGATCCTCTGTCTCTCTCCCTGCTCCATGAGCTTTATCATACCTCGTCTTGAAACTATGTATGGTTCCTGCCTCCACTACATCACTTGCCAGACTTTTCCACTTCCTGACAACTCTATGACTGAAGAAATACTTCCTAACATCCTTTTGACTCATCTGAGTCTTCATATTCCAATTGTGACCCCTTGTGTCTGTGTCCCCTCTCTGGAACATCATGTCTCTGTCCACCTTATCTATTCCTCGTAGTATTTTGTATGTTGTTATCATGTCTCCCCTAACCCTCCTGTCCTCCAGTGCCATCAGGCTGATTTCCCTTAACATTTCTTTGTAGGACATTTCCCTTAGCTCTGGAGCTAGCCTTGTTGCAGACCTTTACACTTTCTCTAATTTTTTGACATGCTTGACCAGCTGTGTTTCAGCATTCATGCTGGCTGTTGTACATACTGTGTTGCAGCAGTCATGCAGGTTACATCTTCCATTAGTATTTAAGATAGAGTAATATTGTCAGGTTTTGTTATACTATAGCCTCTCCTCATTAAACGATGGAGTCCCGCTCCTAAGACCACATTGGTAAACGAATTCATCACTATGCAAGGAGCATACTATAATGGTAGTGGGTTTGTGTCAACCATCTTTGATATTGTTTTAATGTCACCTTTGCATCCTTTAAAACATTTTTAGTATATTTTTAAATGCTTATACAGTAGTGTACTGTACGTATATTGTAATTAACAGAATAATGGAAATCAGGTCTATTATACATTATTTAGGAATGCGTACTGGTCAGAGAGCCCATTGTAAGTCTAAATTGTTGGTAAACGAGTACATCACTAAGTGAGGAGAGGCTGTATTTTCTTATGAATTATATAATTCAAAATACAAATGTTATTTTATGAATCATGAATTTCTGTTCATTTTATCATTGCACAGCATAATTTATTTGGATCATTGTTACAAGTTTGTGCTACATTTTAAAATAATCATTATTGTATTACTGCAGGTACGAGCCCACCATGTCACTCATGGTTTCACAACTCTGCCAAAAGTTGAGCCATCAGGCACCCCTGTGCCACCTGGTCTCATGCCCTATATTGATAACGTACTCACTCATCAGAGGACAGCACGGCCATCTTGCAAGAAAAGAGGACAGATCTCTCAGCAAAGCTCAGAAGCACAGCTTCAACAATCTTCCAAAGCTGGAACAGATCGTCTATGGGCAGTATCAAAAACAGTTTCCAAGGAAGATATAACTGCTATATACCTAACTCCACATGAGCTTTCACAGCAGGGAGTTGTGTGTAGCAGTGAGCACAGTGAACAAGAATCCCTTAATGTAGACACTTTACCTCTACCACATCCTTTAGTGTCACAAGACTTAACCTCAAAAGGTGGTCGTGCAGTGCAGGTTCTGGAATCTAGCCACAATGCTGTTGTTCCGAGTACTCTGCCTCCTCAGCTCGATCTCCGTATAGTGACTGACACACATTCTAATTTTAGTTCAAAACCAGTTTGTGTATTATACCTTGGATAAGTGATTGATTAAACCATTAAACATTCTTGGCATTAGAATTTAGGGTAAGGTATTTCCAGATATTGTAAGAGATTGCTATCATTGATTGTGAGCAAGGAACAATAGCTCTAAAGAACCACACAAACACATTTTCTATCTTCAGTTTGTTAAATATGTTTTAGGCATGTAATATTTACACTTTGTGTGTTTTTCATCATTTTCTTGCTTGAAGCAATCACTGTGTAAATATTCTTATTCTCAGACAGATACCGGTAAGATATTATCGTTACAATAATGGTATTCAGTACATACATGTACTGGTGAATAGATGAGTAAGACAAGTGAAACAATTGGATATCTTTATTTCCAAAACACTCCACTTACACAGTAGGCATCGAGTTGAGTCTCTATTCTCTCTTCACTCACTCCTAACCTTTGCACATTTCTATTTGCATACAGCCCTCCCTGTAGCACTGTAGGACCCTTATGGGTTGTTAATTATTGTTATTATTATTTAACACAACAGCTATTTCCTACCAGGGTAGGGTGAAGAAATGTAAAGTTTTTCTTCTTTTTACATTTAGTAATTTATACATGAGAAGGGGTTACTAGTCCCTTGCTCCCGGCAGTTTAGTCGCATCTTACAACACACATGGCTTACGGAGGAAGAATTCTTTTCCACTTCCCCATGGAGATTATTATTATTATTATTATTATTATTATTATTATTATTATTATTATTATTGATGACACTGTGCTTTAGGGAGATTCTGAAGAGAAGTTGTAGAGGTTGGTTGATGAGTTTGGTAAGGTACTTAAAAGAAGGAAATTAAAAGTGAATGTAGAAAAGAGTAAGGTGATGAGGATAACCAAAAATTTAGGTAACAGAAGATTGGATATCAGACTGGAGGGAGACAAAGCACTTTGTCCATGGGAGCAGAGAGGGAAATGTATGAGAGTATAGTTATACCAGCTCTCTTGTATGGGTGTGAGCATCTCCACTGCCTCCAGCAGTGGAGATGTCATGTCTGAGGGCAATGTGGTGTGAATATAATGCAGAGAATCTGTAGTTTGGACATGTAGAGAGGATGGAACGAAATAGAATGACTTCGAGAGTGTATAAATCTGTAGTGGAGGGAAGGCGGGGTAGGGGTTGGCCTAGGAAAGGTTGGAAGAAGGGGGTAAAGGAGGTTTTGTGTGCGAGGGGCTTGGACTTCCAGTAAACATGCTTGAGCATGTTAGATAGGAGCAAATGGAGACAAATGGTTTTTAGGACATGACATGCTGTTGGAGTGTGAGCAAAGTAACATTTATGAAGGGATTCAGGGAAACCGGCAGGCCGGACTTGATTCCTGGAGATGGGAAGTACAGTGCCTGCACTCTGAAGGAGGTGTGTTAATGTTGCAGTTTTATAACTGTAGTGTAATCATGCCTCTGGGAAGACAGTGATGGAGTGAATGATGAAATTTTTTTTTTTTGGGCCACCCTGCCTTGTGGGACACGGCTAATGTGTTAATAAAAAAATTAAATTATTATTATAATTATTGTTATTCAGTTGACTAAATATGAAGAGAGGAGAAGCAGTGAGGTTACACTTAGCATTCACATAAATAACCTTGAAATTATCAGCATTATGTGATTTTTAGGTTAGGTTAAAGTTAAGTCTTAATTTGCAGGAAATTCATTGCATGACTATGATCCTACCCTTGTAAGTGATCTTAGTAACACAGTACAGTAGCTATCATCCTATGTATCTTCTAGGTAAATAAAGATGTTATATATGTATATGTTTAATTTATCCTCAACTGCAACTAACAACATGTTTTAGTGCTCCCAATCATTCTGTTCAGGGCTTGCTTGTTGTACATGTTTCATGTGCACATAACAGGTACTGACATCTTTGTTAGGTAAGACACATATGCAACAGTTAGGTATCTTTATTTCGAAACGTTTCGCCTACACAGTAGGCTTCTTCAGTCGAGTACAGAAAAGTTGATAGAAGCAGAAGAGACTTGAAGACGATGTAATCAGTCCATCACCCTTAAAGTTTTGAGGTGGTCAGTCCCTCAGTCTAGAGAAGAGCATTGTTTCAGACTATGAAACAATGCTCTTCTCTAGACTGAGGGACTGACCACCTCAAAACTTTAAGGGTGATGGACTGATTACATCGTCTTCAAGTCTCTTCTGCTTCTATCAACTTTTCTGTACTCGACTGAAGAAGCCTACTGTGTAGGCGAAACGTTTCGAAATAAAGATACCTAACTGTTGCATATGTGTCTTACCTAACAACCTGTCGGTATTTTATACCATTTTAATGTTCACACTGACATCTTTGTAACCCTTCAAACTGAACTGTTTGCCATACTCCTTACACTAAACTGCATTCATGTATCAAAGGTTGACACCATAATTGTAACTGATTCTTTATCATTCATAAATGCTCTTAACTCTTTAGGTATCAATTGTGCCATGCTAGTGTCAGAAGCCAGACACAAGTAAGGGAGTATTGTGTCATGCTGGTGTCAGAAATCGGACACAGAAATCAAATGCAAAATTGGAGTTGATACAGTTACTTTTTGCTGACGATACTGTGCTGTTGGGAGATTCTAAAGAAAAGTTGAAAAGGTTAGTGGACGAGTTTGGGAGGGTGTGTAAAGGAAGAAAGTTGAAAGTGAACATTGATAAGAGTAAGGTGATGAGGGCATCAAATTAGTTAGATAAAGAAAAATTGGATATCACATTGGAGGGAGGGAGTATGGAAGAAGTGAATGTGTTCAGATATTTGTGACTTAACTTCTCAGTAGATGGGTTTATGAAGAATGAGGTTAACCATAGAATTGATGATGGAAAAATGGTGATTTGTGCTTTGAGGTATCTGTGGAGACAAAAAAAACTTATCCAAGGAGGCAAAGAAGGGAATGTACGAGAGTATAGTGGTTCCAACATTCTTATGTGGGTGTGAAGCATGGATTGCAAATGCTGCAGCAAGGAGGAGGCTAGAGGCAGTGGAGATGTTGTGTCTAAGGGCAATGTGTAGTGTAAATACGTATTATGCAGAGAATTTGTATTGTGAAAATTAGGAGGTGTGGAATTACTAAAAGTATTAGTCAGAGGGCTGAAGAGGGGTTGTTGGGGTGGTTTGGTTATTTACAGAGGATGGAGCAAAATAGAATGACTTGGACAATGTGTAAATCTGTAGTGGAAGGAAGGCAGGGTAGGGGCCACCCTAGGAAAGGTTGGAGGGAGGGGGGAAAAGGGGGTTTTGTGGACGAGGGGCTTGGACTTCCATCAAGTGTGCATGAGCATGTTAGATAGTAGTGAATGGAGATGAATGGTTTTTGGGACCTGACGAGCTGTTAGAGTGTAAGCAGAGTAATATTTTTTGAAGGGATTCAGGGAACCTGCTTAGCCAGACTTGAGTCCTGGAGGTGGGAAGTACAATGCCTGCACTTTAAAGGAGAAGTTTGGGATATTGGCTGTTTGGAGTGACATCTGAACTCATATTTGAGTGCCTCTGCCAAGACTGGTAATGTAAGAGTGTTGGTAAAAGTGTTGAATGATGATGAAAGTTTTTTTTTTGTAGAGGTCTGAGCTTGCTCAGACATCTACAAAACAATTGCCCTCAAAGATTTGTTAAATTATACCATGGATTAAGGAAAGATTCTAGAATTCACCTTATGAAACAAACAAAGCAAATACAACAGTAATTATGGACGAGGTAGATTATAGTGGAAAATGTTATTAGAAGACAGTCCTGCCCTGCTGCACTGTATGACCCTTGTAGGTTTAGAACTTCTTTTTGATTATAATATTAGAAAACAGGGGTACTTACGTGTCTCTTAACCCTTAAACTGTCCAAACATAGATCTACATTTTTTCAACATTTGAAAGTGTATGTAAAAAAACGTAGACATTCCTTTTTTTTTTTTTTTTTACATTTGAAAATGTGTAAAAAAAACTTTGATCTACGTTTTTTTTGTTATTGAAAATATGTAAAAAAAAATAGATCTACGTTTGGAGCACTACGCATGTGAACATAGATCTGTTTGGACAGTTTAAGGGTTAAGGGATCGTACTTCCTGCCAACATTCACCATCCAGTATTTCTGTGGCTGGGATGGACATCTCTTGATCCATCTCTGTCTCACTGGCCCTGCTTGTCTTATTTGTCTTGCTGTCCGATAAGCCCAGGGAGTCGCCTTGCTGTCTGATGAGTCTTGGCAATGGTTTTGCTGTCATGCAAATTCAGGTGTCATCTGCAAAGGAAGACACGGTCCTGTGGCTTACATCCTTATCTATGTCAGATGTGAGGATGAGGAATAGGATGAGAGCAAGTACTGTGCCTTGTGGAACAAAGCTTTCCACTGTAGCCCCCTCAGAGCTTACTCTGTTTACTACTACTCTTTGTGTTCTATTTGTTAGGAAATTATAGATCCCTCTGTTATTCCTTTATCACGCATTTTGTGTGTTATTACACCATGGTCACGCTTGTCAAAGGCCTTTGCAAAGTCTGTGTTTACTACATCTGCATTTTGTTTGTCTTCTAGAGCATCCAGGAGCTTGTTATAGTGGTCCAATAGTCAGGACAGGCAGGAACAACTTGCTCTAAACCCATGTTACCCTGGGTTGTGTAACTGATGAGTATCTAGATGGGTGGCAATCTTGTAGAACCCTTTCAAAGATTTTTATGATGTGGGATGTTCGCACTACCTGTCTGTAGTTCTTTGCTATTGCTTTACTGCCCCCTTTGTGGAGTGGGGCTATGTCTGTTGTTTTTAGGAGCTCTGGGAGCCCCTGTGTCCATGTTCCTTCTCCATAGGATGTTAATAGCACATGATATGGGTTTCTTGCAGTTCTTGATGAACATGAAGTTCCATGAGTGTGGGCCTGGGTCAGAGTGCATGGGCATGTCATTTATGGCCTTTTTGAAGTCGTAGCTGACATCAATGACATACTATTATACAGCAAGCCCCTTGTTATGCAGTGTTTCGGGCAAATTAACTCAGTTTTCTTCCAAGACGTGACCCACACCAGTCGACTAACACCCAGGTATCTATTTTATTGATGGGTGAACATAGACAACCAGTGTAAGGAAAAAAGCCCAATGTTTCTACCCTTGCCTGGAATCGAACCTGGACACTCAGTGTGTGAAGTGAGAGCTTTGCCTTCTAGAACGAATGGGAAAAGAGGCATGAGAAGGATGGAGTAGGGAAAGGAAGAATGTAAGGTAATTTACCTGGAGTTTACCTGGAGAGAGTTCTGGGGGTCAACGCCCCCGCGGCCCGGTCTGTGACCAGGCCTCCTGGTGGATCAGAGCCTGATCAGCCAGGCTGTTACTGCTGGCTGCACGCAAACCAACGTACGCGCCACAGCCCGGCTGGTCAGGAACTTAGGTTCGGTCAGATGAAGATCATGAGATCCAATTCCACAGAACAAAAGCCTCCTCACATTGTCAGAAAGCCCCCATCCCCCATCACTTGAAGAGGTCAGGTTAAAAATCCCAACAAATGTTATCTTGCAGTCTCTAATTTGACCTCTATACCCCGTAGCTGGATAGGTGTCTAGTAGCTGGATCACAAGCGCACTCAACTCACACACTGAGTTTCGGAGATCGAATCACCGGTACGGCTGGAGAACATTAGGATGTGTTTTCTTAAGACGCCTGTTGTTCATGTTCACCCATCAGTATAAAATGGGTACCTGGGTGATAGTCAACTGGTGTGGGTCGCATCCTGGAACAAGCAGCATAACAAGCGGCTTTCTACATAGTAGTATGTCATTGATACTACGTGCCGCAAACTACCCTTCTCACACTATACCATTCACTTATATATCCATACCTCACCTATGCTATCTGTGCTTGGGGTTCAACTGCAGCAACACACCTAAAGCCAATAATAACCCAACAAAAAGCTGCAGTAAGAATAATCACTAAATCCCATCCCTGGCAACACACCCCCCACTCTTCATAGATCTAAACTTACTCCCTGTTCAGAACATCCACACTTACTACTGTGCAGTCTATATCTACAGGACCTTAAATTCCAATATTAACCTTGACCTAAAATGCTTTCTTGATAATTGTGACAGGATCCACAGGCATAACACCAGACACAAACATCTCTATGATATTCCCCGTGTTCGGCTAAACCTTTACAAAAATTCAATGTATTTCAAAGGACCTAAAATTTGGAACACCCTACTTGAACACTCTAGAACTGCAGACACATTCATCACTTTCAAAACTACAGTTAGAAAACATCTTATCTCCCTGATCCACCCCGACAGCTAACTACATGATAACCACCTGGTGGTTCACAATTACACTCAATCACCCACTGACTATAAACCCAGAAATACTAATCTTAATCTTAAAATAATAAATCCTAACTAGTCATAAGTTTGCCTATGATACTCCAATATAGACACTTTGTATTGTGCCAGAACAAAAGCATTCACATTGCTAAACTCACAAATTATGATGTAGTCACTTAGCCTTAATACCATAATCTGTAAGGATTTAATATTAAGATTTAATTTAAGTCTGCCCGAAATGCCTAGCCAGGCTAGGTGTCCTAGTGGCCCCCTCTGTAATTAGTATTTTTTTTATTAACACACTGGCCAATTCCCACCAAGGCAGGGTGACCCGAAAAAGAAAAACTTTCACCATCATTCACTCCATCACTGTCTTGCCAGAAGGGTGCTTTACACTACAATTTTTAAACTGCAACATTAACATCCCTCCTTCAGAGTGCAGGCACTGCACTTCCCATCTCCAGGAC